GTAAACTCGTGGGGGTATCAAAAACGAATGCCACAATATGTATAATGGATGAGCGGTCATTTTGTGACGAGAGTAAATGTTCTTCTTAATGGTGGAGGAATTTTCAAGATATGGTGGGGTTGTACTTTTGAAGTGCATAACAGAGTACATTTGTGCATGTTTTGGATAAAATATATTAATATGTTAGGGGGCGCTCACCGATCGCTCATACGGAACTCACTCGTTCCGTTGTGCCTTAAGGGCTCTCTCTCGAGCCCAACCAGCAGCCGCACAGCGGCGCATGATATATAGGCAGAATGGTATTACCGACAAAGACAAGGGAGACTGGAATGGCCATTTCTGGCTTATAAGCCGTCGTCAGCCAGCCATACCCAAGCCCGAAGTGTGAAACACCCGAGCGTCGAACTCGCAACCTGATCGGTGAGCGCCCCCTAACACTGTATATTCCCGATCGGAAACCGACAGGGCAACGGGCTTGTGGTCCTGTGGGTAGAGGCGTGGACTTCTAAACCAACAGGTCGCGAGTTCGAGACTCGGGTGTTTCACACTTCGGGCTTGGGCATGGGTGGCTGACGATGGCTTATAAGCCAGAAATTGCCATCCGAGTCTCCATTGTCTTTGTCGGTAATTCCATTCTGCCTATGTAGCATGCGCCGCTGTGCGGCTGCTGGTTGGGCTCGAGAGAGAGCCCTTAAGGCACAACGGAACGAGTGATTTCTGTATGAACGATCGGTGAACGTCCCCTAACATTGTATATTCCCGATCGAAAACTGACAGTGCAACGGGCTCGTGGCCCGGTGTGTAGAGGCGTTGTCTTCTAAACCAACAGGTCGCGATTTTGAGCCTCGGATGTTCCACACTTCGGGTTTGGGTATGGCTGGCTGACGACTGCTATTAAGCCAGAAATGGCCATCCCAGTCTCCCTTGTCTTTGTCGGTAATTCCAATATGCCTATATATTAATATTTATAAGGGCGTACAAAAATGCACATAAGGTAAACAGACCTTTGTACTAAGTGCGGGCTGTGCATGCGGCCATGACTACGTGATACGCTCCGACATTTTCACTAATATCCTAGGATTATGCCGCATAATTAGCAACATTAAACGCTCACATTAGTAATCGCTGCTTATTGAAAACACACTTAGGAATCATGGTTTAAATATCTCGTGATGAGCAAACAACTGTGCATTATTTAGGAAAGTCTGAAAAGTGCTCTTTATTATGAGCCAAGTTAATTCTTATACACGACCAAAAGCCTCCTAGTAAATTCAGACTGAGTAATTAAGATGTTAACAACTGCAGTTCATAAATGTCATGCTATGATTCTATGCAAACAAATAATTGCCGACTGCAAAATTTGTCCTTCTGCAACAGACCATATTGGTGCTCTTGTCAGTCCTCAGTGCCTGCACACTATCCGTGACATTTTATTACCAAAATGCCGGTTAATGCATGCGTCATCGACGGGGCTTAAGCATCATCAGCAAGACACAGCTCCCATTTATTTGAGACAGAATTCGGTCGGCCATTTAACAGGATATGTAGGCATTCAAACAGTTAGGACGTCAAGTCAGTCCAAAAAGACCTGACAGCTCTTTGTCGGTTCTCTTGCTTTAGTAAGCGGCACATACAGCGTGGCAAAGGTCCAGTGTTTGTATGTTTCACGTTCAGTTGTGTCTTTTGCTAAAACAATTAAAAACAGTGTATGGATTCATGGCTCGGTTTTACATCATCGCCTGTAGAATTCAACTGCAAGCTTAACTGATGGACTTGCTAAAATGACATGGCAATAAGTATGCCTTGGCTGACCTTTTGAAATTGAAATATATGCTCATGGACAATATATATGATACAGAAACCGAGTATTACAGCTCAAAAGATTTAAGTTGACATCCGTTTCTTCGTGATGGAAGTGCACTGTACTGTGCGTTATTCAACATAAAAGAATGCAAATATGAAACAGCATTTGCGGTTATTTTTATGTCAACTGCTAATTCAAGCGCAGACGCTGGTCATCTACGATAAAAACACACTTAGCAAGGCACAACACGTCAACAGCCTAAGGGTTACTTAGGGTTGTTGCGATCAAACACATCCTCACTGCTGAACAAAACCCATCAAGTTTGCTTTCATTTTAATAGAAACATCTGAACACAAATTTGCTCTCTGGCGAGCCTAAAAAATTAGAGACCCACCAATCATCCGGAAAAAAACCTGCCCTAATGTAAATGTGCACCTATAAACTAGGTGCACTAGAAGGAGGAATATGAAATTTCTGACAGCGAACTGTCGCAGCCCCGCGGTTTAAACATCTGTGCATAAGCAATATGCAAGAAAGAGCTTTAGGTGACTGTGTGTCCAGTTTTTATATCCTTGCTGCTTATGGCTGGTAAACACTTAGTATATATTGTCACTATATTACCTAGACTGCAGACCAATCTATATTATTTCTATTTGGAGGCATATGACGTCAGATCTGATGGAACAGCAGATTCCCTCTCACAATAGTCGACTATTTAGTTTTTCTATATTAAATATTACTGCTTGAAATGCGAATTAGTCCATCGGAATATTTCCACTAAAAACGTCTAATAACATATGGAGAACTCTCTCGTAAAATTGTCGTCATATAATATATCCTAACGACAGTATGTCTGCATCGCAGTAATAATGCTTGCATTTGCAGGTTGACCCTTTTGCGAAATGATAGCTTATAATTAGACTACTTGAGAAAATTAAAACGGTGTCGGCTAGTTTTTCTGCTGCAATGACGCCGTAATATCGGTAGTTAACTCGTATATGGTGACACATATTAACGAATTGAATTTGATATAAAACAGAACGCCGTTCGTTTAAAAGCCGTATTTCTTGGCCTACAATCATCAGATTTCTTTTGACAGCAAAAAGGTTTTTGAAGTCATAAAGTCATCTATATAGAAATGTCAGCATAGGTTGTGCTCAGTGATGTCTTCCATTCTAGCCAACTCAGTAAGAGTTACCTGGGTAAATGACAATAATTTATGGAGCGAGCGTCTAGCATTACTTGCACATACTAGGGCGAAAAACAAATGTGGCAGAGAGCAGGTTTTGACAGACAAAAGCTATTGACCTGTCGCTACGTCTCAACTCCACAGTGACCCAGGCGATGCTCAAAATCTGATAACTGTGTGATGCAAGTGACCTCAACGTCTTTATTTTAGTGGAGAGTAATTAGTGGCATAGTCGCTAATCGTATTTAATTCAGACTATGTGAATCCTACCGATATTGATTTCGACTAAAGTGTTTTGGGATTATTAAGGAAAAAGTGGCTCACATAGTTGTTGGGGTTCCATGTCCCATCCTGCTACAATTTCTGCCGTTATTTGTTGAAGAACTACTAGAAGCTAGGCTTGTTGAGTGTGCGAATCAAGGAATAAGGTTTGATTTAACGAAATAGATAAACTGACGCCGGAATGGTTTACTGCCGTTAGGAGGGGATAACAAGGGGATCAAGTATGCCCGCTCCAGTGTGAATGGGCAGCTTAAAGATTGTCAAGACAACTCGGCCGATGCTAGTGCGAGAAAAATAGGCCAGATATACGTAAAGTGATAAAATAACCACGTTCGACAGAAGATTAAGCGAAAATGAAACACTCATTCTTATGCTACTTAAAATATGTCTGCGAAACGCCCTTACAAAATTATCGGCATGCAGGTGCTGCAGATAATCAGTAATAATAAATAAATAATAGCCGCCTGATCACTCTGACCATTTAAAAGCACAAGAGGATTTTATGGAGATGAATACGTTTAAGGAAGACAAAAGATTTTTTTATATTTGAGTGTGGGAATTCTTTAAAAAGTCATTTTATGTGTCTAGAGTTTCAGTTTTGAAAGTCTGTCTAATTGCTAGACGGCTAATTTTGCCATTGAAAAAAATATTATAAGCGTTTAATCTTTTTTATTTTGAGTTTGGCACTGACGACTTTAGGTATGAGACGCCATGGTTCACAAAACCCCATGCTGCACATATTGACCCAGAACTGGATTACTTACTTCAAATGTATTTCAACCTCTTACCTAGCGAGTAGAAGCCAGGACTCTTTAAGAAACAAATAAAAATGTATCGGGGTAAAAAACATTTCATTGGTCTCGAGTAGAAGGCTAAAATATAAAGCTCTCATGCTGTCAATGAAAATTCCGATAGACGTCCTTTCATTTTAAGATGTTGTGTCAGTCGGCAAATTTCACAACAACAACAGACTAAATCACTGCAATTTGTAAAACCATTTAGCACAAATATTAACACAAAAAGCTATGCTGATAGAAGCAAACAGGCGAGTTCCAGGTAGCAGTTCAGAAGATGAAGATGCGATCACTGGAACAAGAAATTTATTTGTCCGACGTTTCGGATTCTTACTCGAATCCATCATCAGATACATTCGCAGATAAAGGCGATGGTGGCACCAGGAGTGCAGTATTTATAGCACGTGGCTGCCCTGGGATCGTAAGCGCACTGCAATTAACAGTTCTCTCAAGCATACGGTCCCACGGCAACCACGTGCTATAAATGCTGCACTCCTAATGCCACCATCACCTTTATCTGCGAATGTCTCTGATGATGGATTCGAGTGGGAATCCGGAACGTCAGGCAAATAGATTTCTTGTTCCAGTGATCGCATCTTCATCTTCTGAACTGCTACCTGGAACACGCCTGTTCGCTTCTATCAGCAATATGTTTGGGCGCGAAGCGCTCCGATCGGCTTGACGGTGGGAAACCTTTGCCCTTCGAGAGTCGTCAACATATGCGCAGATTCGATTTCTGCAAAGGTGTCTCGACAACAATGTGCTGCCGAAGTGCGTTTCATACAAACCTCCGGTCAACACAGAGCTGGCGAGACGCGCAGTACTTCAGCACGGTCGACGAATGATCCGAGTGCTCCTTCAAGACTGTCACTCACGGATTCGCAAATACCGTCAGAGGATTGACCAAGATAAAGCAAGGCGCTGTTAGTTCATGGGCGACGACGGCACAAAACTGCTTCAGCAGAGGTTGGCCGAACGAACTCGCGAACATAAAGCAACGCGCGAAGCAGTCCTAGAGAGCAAGTTTTGTAAGCCGCCTGCTCCTATGTCATCCAAGAAAGACAAACTGGTGCACAACTTGTCGTCAAAGGAGCTGACGGAGGAACAAATGCAGGTTTTACGGCATGAGGCCTCATTCAACACAGCCGATGCCAAACCTGCCAACATGATCGCAGCAGTGGGTTCAATCCTCAGCCAGACGGGAGCGACAGACGAAACGAAGAACCTCATTCGACACCAAGCGTCCTCCCTCTTTATGCCTCATAGGCCGCGCGACGTGCTTTCCAAGGTCGAGCGTGATGCAATTAAGAAACTCAGGGCCGACAACGACCTCGTTATCGTGCCTGCGGACAAGGGGTGTTCAACGGTCGTATTGGACAGGAGACAATACAATCAAAAAGCCAAAAGCATGTTGGAGGATCGTCAGTCCTATGTCCCATGCGAATCCAACCCCATGAAAACGCTGACACGCGAGATTAACGCGACGCTGTTGGCAATGGAGAACTCAGGTGCAATATCGCGAATCGACCGACGCATGGCGAGAGCACAAGAAACGGCCCTAGCCCGATTCTACGGTCTCCCAAAAGTGCACAAAAGAGGGCGCTCCTCTCCGGCCTATCGTATCACTAAAGGGCACTCCAGCCTACGGACTGGCAAAGTGGCTGTTCCAACGTCTCAAGTTTCTGACCTCCGGTTCGAACACCACAGTCATCTCGTCAACGCAATTCTTGGAGAAATTTAAAGGAGTAAGTCTCCTGCCAAGCGATGTCATGGTTTCCTTTGATGTCGCGTCCCTTTTTACTTCTATCCCCCAGGACCTGGCAGTCGAGACCATCGAACTACCCCTACGAGAGAACTACGACGAAACGGAGAATCGCCTTGGACACGCCCAAATCATCCAGCTCCTGAGGTTCTGTATCAAGACGTACTTTACGTTCGACGAAATAATCTACGAGCAGGTTAAGGGAACGCCAATGGGTTCGTCGATTTTGGGACTCATAACCGAGGCGGTCCTACAACTGTTGGAGTCGCTGGTTTTCCGACACCACAGACCGAAATTCTGGGCTCGGTATGCGGATGACACCGTCGTCATCGAACGGGATCAGGTGCTGACGTTCAAAGAATATCTCAACGCCGTCTTCCCGGACATTTAATTAACGATGGAGGAGGAGGAGGAGGAGGAGGAGGAGGAAAACAATCAGCTGGCCTTCGTGGATGTCCTCGTCTGCTGCAAAGATTGTGGTGGCCTAAAAACCAATATGTTCAGGAAAGCGACAAATACGACGCAAATACTGAACTTCAATAGCAACCATCCGGTCAGTCGCAAACACAGTTGCGTCAGGGCGCTATACCGGCGCGTTGAGACGCACTGCAGACAAGGTTGCTGAATTACAATATCTTCGACGGGTAATGAGAGCCAATGGTTACCCACGCAACTTTGTCAACCAGTGCATACGGAAAGGATACCAAAGACCAAATCCAACTGGCCCCAAATTTTGGCGGGCTCTCCCGTACGTGAAGAACGTCTCGGAAGCCGTCAGTCGTCTTCTCACCCCACTTGGAGTTGGGGTTGCACACAGGCCGGAAGCAAACATCAGGCGCTAAGTCATGAGGCCAAATGACCCGCTGCCAGGGCAGGAAACGTCTGGAGTCGTTTACCGGATCTGATGTAGTTGCGGACAAAGCAATTATGTCGGAGAAACTGGGAAATTACTCCGTACGCGAATTGCCGGGCACGCAGCAGCAGTGAGGCGGGGAGACGCTAATTCTCAGGGGACGGCACACTCGACGGGACCCGGCCATATTTTTACATTTTAAGAGGTCGAAATCCTCGCAAGGGGTGACAACTGCGTGCGCCGCGAGCTGCTCGAGTAATGGTTCTCAGGCCCGCAATCCATCAACAAGCACAATGACCTCCCGGTACCCTATTCCATACTGCGATTTTCCCTGGGCAGGAGCATCAGTCACGTGTGGAGGGCGCGGGCGAGCAATTATCACGGTGACAGTGAGCCAGCTTGCCGAGCAATCGTCACACCAGCATCCAGCGCGAATGACGAAATCGCGGCAATTAATGACTCGGACTCGGAGCGACAAGCCACCACCGCATCAATTACGACCCCAGCGGTGATTGCGATAACTGTCCATTGCAGGGCGCATACGGTCCCACGGCAGCCACGTGCTATAAAAACTGCACTCCTGGTGCCACCATCACCTATATCTGCGAATGTCTTTGATGATGGATTCGGGTGAGAATCCGAAACGTCAGGCCAATAAATTTCTTGTTCCAGTGATTGCATCTTCATCTTCTGAACAAAAAGCTATGTTTCGTTCCCGTTCGTCTAAGACGAAAGACTGCACACGAGTTTGAATGCTCGGGACAATGAGCAAAATGATGCGGTGCTCAAAATGTCTTCTTTTTCACTTATGAATACACCTGAAATTCGACATTTCGTCCTCGCTTTCTATTCTATTTATTACTAGTCTTTAGAGTACGAAGTCACAATGGTTTTTTTAAACGAATCTTTTGATTCAAAACTTATTTTTCATGACGAACGTCTAACAAAGATTAGGTTTAAATGGAAAGTCATCTACAAATTGAAACGCGTGCGATTATATTATTCTTCTCTCGAAACACACATAACAAAATTAAGATGTAAATACACTTAACTATTAACTTAATATGCAGACTCAATCAGGCTCGTAAAAACTACGATGAAAAAGGTGAATGATGCAACGTTTTATTTACCAAAGTAAAGCAGTGTCCTAAAATTTCACCTTTTTATACCGAAGGCCCCCCATAAAACAGCAGCCATATATATCAATATCTGTACACGCCCATTTATCGCATTACTGGATTGTACTCTTAAAGTGCGCCAGTAGTATATAGCAAGATATATGTTGAGGCAGCCTTCTATAAGCTGTATAAGATAACCAAAACAGATAACTCGAATTGGACGTGCGAGGAAATGCTGTTATTCTACATGCCTTGTCAACTGCCTGTTTTATCTGTCCTCGCAATATTCCACAAGGGGAAAATGCTGTGACAAGGTTTCTATCCTAGGAAATATGCCGGAAGATAAACAAAATCTTTATTTTCTACTCCAGGCTTGCCGGAAAGGAAATGTGTATTAGTCATAGTCTGTTAGATTAAGGACATATTTGCCAAGTTTCGCAAAACAGTCAACAGTCTCTCGGCATCTCGATACGTCTGAGTTCAATAACATTATTTTAGCCAACCATTGGGTTGACACCGTATACCATTTAAAGTTGCCCTCTGCTTTTCAAACGTGCGTAGTATTCGCGAGTTTCAGTTCTATATGATAAACGACTGGGTTTGATTCAGCTCATACCTCGTATATAGTTAACGAGAATTGGCATTCAAGGTTGGCATCATTCAACGCTGAACACCACACGGGATTATCACCACGGAAGAGGGTGTGCTGCTTTTGAAATTTCTATGCTATGGTGTTTTTTGACGACAGTATATCAATTATCACCCATGGGAAGCGTTTGTGATCTGGATTGCTGAGAGAAAAACACACCTGTCTACACGGCATTTGAGCAAATTGATCGATTTGCGGGCAATTTAGTTCCACATGTGATGATCGAAAACTTATTCATGGATCCACAGTCCGTTGTTAATCGTTCTACCAAATACCCAACTGAATGTGAAACATGCCAGCACTGGCACTGTACCTAAGTCATTAAACAGATTGGAATAACCCGTGGTCATGCATATAAACGCTTGCAGTTTCTCATTAGCCCTTACATGTACGTTGACAAAAGTGCACAACACATAGGAGTTGGCGAAAACTCCATATACTGTAAGCCATGGCCACAATAGTGCAAATTCAAAAAATACCTTTTTAATATACCGTGTAAAGAAACTTGGAATTGTGCCATGTCTACCGGTTTCATTGTTCTAGTTCTCGAGGTCCATACAGCAAATCAAGAAGTCAAATGACTGCTTTTTCTGACTGCATAACACCTCCTTTCGAGAAACATACTACGATTATTTTGTTTTGCAAATGACTTAAAAGGTTGTCATCGGCATTTCTTTTTATATTTAAGCATGCTAAAATAAAAAAAACACTTTTAGCGTAGACTGCTAAAACATATACGCACTTGATGAATTATACTTAGCAGTCAGTGGCCTCGAAGCACCACAATATATATATAAGTTCAATAACCAAATCTCACCCACCTTTCTCTTGACGCCGCAACAACTGTCAAGACATCCTTGATTACACCACCGTGCGCGATTTTAGCGTATTAACTTTCGAATTAGTCGGTGACTAATTTCAATTTAACTAGCGTATGACGTAAGGTAAACTGGAAATGACTTTTAAAGGAAGCGTGACTCCACGTTGAATACTAAAAGAGAGAATACGGTTCCATCACCGTATAATAGGTGTTAACTGCATTTTTAGAGTGATAATTTTTAGTGGCGGTGTATGGAATATTTTTCGTGGATAATTCGGATTAGCAAGGCATCTAGGCTATTCAATCAACTATATGTGCAATTTTATTTAGCGTGTGATTCTCTTAAACACAGCTAAACACAAACACTCATAGACTCCCACCACGCCACACGGCAAGAGTTCAAACAAAGGCCTCCCCTGCCAGTCTCCTTAAACTGACTAGATTAGCTAGTTATGTAAACAGATCCTGCTTTATTTTTTGCCAGTCAGACACCGTTTTCTCAGAGTTGTGCTAGGGTAATAATCGATGGCTAATGCTTATTCCCCTTCAATGGAACACGCATCAACACACCATAAGACAACTCAATTGTCGGGGTCACCAGGTCAGTCGATGACGTTTGACAGAAGCCTTGTAAGCGTCTGCTGTGTGAGGCCAAATTTTGCGCTGACATTTTGATTTCACATAAAGTAAGACCGGGTTATGCTATTAATAGCTATGGTTATCCTTAATACTTGGTATGCAGTATATGAGACGTTGTATCTGATATGTATAGAAAACTCCTCAGAACATCAAAAGGTGCATTTGCAAAGCCTCACCAGGTGACTGTCTGAGCCTATAGCCGAGTTTAGCATAAGCACGAAAGGAAAGCGTTAGTGTTATTTCGAGTTTAATTTCTTCTTAACAGTTCCCACATATCCACCCAAAAATACCTCGAAGGACTCAGAAAATCCTGCTCATATTTCAACTCTCAATGTTTATGATCGACTTAGGTTGAACAAGCAATAGCATTCAAATTTGACATAAGTTCCTCCCGAATGGCAAAGTGGATAAAACCATTTCATAAGAAGCGTCTTTGTCTGCCTCTAAATAAGTAGAAGATACAGCTGTCATCTCTTATACTCCTGATAGCCTCTAGAACGCACAAAAATCCTCAAATTTTAATTACTTCATACATTAACTACGAACGTGGAGTAGATCAATCTATTCAAAATCCATAAACACCGACCGGGATTTTATATATTTGAGTTGAAATCCATCAGCCACAGTGAGGAACCCGCGTTGTATTCAATTAATGCCGGCGGATACGCATGTTTCGCCTGGCAGCTGCGTCATGCAGCTGCTGTTTAAATGGCATCATCTCACCCTAAAGCACGAACAATTTTTCAACATCAGCTAGGCCGATGTCTTTCCTATTTAAACCGGGTCCTTTGCGTTTAACATTTGAGTCCCCTGTGGCACGGCATCAGAAATGTGTAACCTTAAATCTGAACTGGACTTCAGCTCAAAGCCAAGGTAGCACAATTTCACTAAAACCCCGCA